GGCTGAACCTGCAGTCTGCTCTGTGTGTAAATGGGCACACAGAGGACTTACTGGCTGAACCTGCAGTCTGCTCTGTGTGTAAATGGGCACTAGATTTGGATTTTTGTTTTTAACCTCTAAGCTCTAGTAGGGCGGAAATATGTTTGACTTGTTCACCTCAGTATCTCCAGCACATCTTTGAATATTTTTCTGTGTGTTACTGTGCTTATTCCATATCACTTTAGTTTCTGAAATTAGAATGTTGTTGGGCTTTTATGACCTTAAATTGAGTGGGCGGAGTAAGATGAAGAGTCAGACACTAGAATTAGCTATAAATTTTAAACCGGCAGCCCATTACTGAGATTTATCCTGTCTGTTTTTGTCCTTTGACTCTGTTGTGACCTATGATGAAAAATTTTGGATATTTTGGTGACCTCTTAATTCCTTTCTTAGCAAGGTAAATGCCATGTTGAAGGAGTCTGCCCACTTTTTTCTTCTGAACTCAAAGTTAAGTCCAAAGGTAACACATATAGAACATTTGTTGTTATTGGGTGCCATCAAGTTGATTTCAACTCATAGCAACCACATGTGACAGAGTAGAACTGCCCCATAGGGGTTTTTTTGGCTGTAATCTTTTACAGAAACAGATCGCCAGGTCTTTCTCCCGTGGAGTAGCTAAGTGAGTTCAAACTGCCAACCTTTTGGTTAGCGGCTGAGCTCTTAACCATTGCACCACCAGGGCTTGTATAGAACACTTAGTTGTCTTTTTATGTCATATTCGGGACTTTATAGAGGGAATAATATTACAGTAGTAATAAAAAAAAGTGGTGAAGTGGTTCATGTCTATATATTTTTCTAAGTATTGATTGTCTGCAAATTTCATTTATAGATTAATCTTTTAATAATTAGAGAAAAGGTATTAGAAATTACAAAAAGTAACTTTCAGAGAGGATACTTGTGCCAAATATTTAAATGTTTGGTTATGTCTATATCAAATATGAATTCAAATTTAATTATAATGTTTGTCATTAAGTTTCACAAGGGATATATTTGTATCTCTTATAGGAAGCTCTTGTCCAGTGATCGAAATCCACCAATTGATGACTTAATAAAATCTGGAATATTGCCTATCTTAGTCCATTGTCTTGAAAGAGATGACAAGTAAGTACATTATTAAAAAATAACAGTACTTTTACAATGTATCCTTTGGAGAAGACAAGATTTTCTAGTAGTTAGTTTGATCTTTAAAGAAAAAAGAAAAGGGATATAGGATGGAGTTGGAAAGTGGAAGGGAAAAACAGTACAAGCTGTGGTAAAGGCCAAAGAGCAGACTGAGAATGAGACATTTGACTTATTTGTAAACTTTGAAAATTTGCAAGAACTGGTTTGGCCATATAGGTACTTGAGAAAATTGGGGAGTAATGTACAGATACCTTAATAAATAGTTTTTACCGAAAATAAGAAGAGCACATGAGGAGGTTATATGCTTTTTATACTGAAGAGATTGTTTTAAACAGTCATTAGAGATAAAAAATAAATAAAAATGCTGGATGGATATGTTTTGAGACAAAGTATTTAATATCTTCAAAAAGCTGGAAGGGAGAAATGATTGGTAGACATTTGGGCAGTATAAAGAATCCTTACTGTTAAGAATGTTTGTTTTTTGTAGTCCTTCTTTACAGTTTGAAGCTGCATGGGCTTTGACAAACATTGCATCTGGAACCTCTGAACAAACTCAAGCAGTAGTTCAGTCCAGTAAGTTGATTATTAATAGACAAAATTGTGATTTTTTAAAAATCTGTAAAAAGTAAACAGTGATTCCCCTAAAAGAATATAGGTATTGGTATTATAAAATTACAGCTACCCAATAAGGTAGTTGAAATAGGCCAACTTAAGTACGTTACTTTAAGTGACATTTTCTATTATGGAAAATACATTCAATTTATGAGAACATTTCTTAATTATTGTAAATTATTGATTTCTATTGTACATGTTAGAGAAATCTTTTATAAAGTAGTCCTTTTGAAAGAATAGTGTGACAGTTTCTTTCATTCTCATTGTAATAGGATTGCTTTTCGTTTATGTTTCAAAAGGTGTAAGTGGAAAATAACTATTGAAACTGATAATCTGAGTGTATCGTTTTCATGTACCGGTAGTCCCCCAATTTACAACATATTCAAGTTATGATGAACCACACTTAGACTGTCCATGTTTTTTGTGTTTCGTTTTGTACATCTTATAGTAGTAATATGTACTACCTACAGTGTTGCAGCATGTAATTTGCTGATGTTACCATTCTCAGATATTCACTCGCGTGTGTTCTATTTACTGATCAAAATATTGATGTATAGGTTGCATGGTTGATTATTGTAATTACTGTCAAGTTGTACACCTGTTAAAAGTTGAATTGGCAAAAGCTGTGTGATAGTTTTTACAACAGTGCCAACAACAACAACAAAAAAGAGTAGTTGCTGAGGCTGCTTATGTACAAACAAATGCCTCATGGGATATAGTTCCTTGGTGTAAAGGTTTACAGTCATGGTTTCATGGAATTATCTCAGTCAATTGGCATAATAATGGGTTTAGTTCTTCTGTTCTACCTGGGATCTTAAAAGCTGGCATAGTGCCTAGGGTCGTAAAAGCTTGCAAGCAGCCATCCAAGGCTTAACAATTGGTCTCTATTTACCTGGAGCAACAGAGGAAGGAGAGTCAGGAATAGGAGGAGGATGTGGGATGTGTGGCTAATTGCCTCCACAAACAACTGCCTCCTTTTCCTGGAGACCAGAAGAACTGAATGGTGCCTGGCTACAATTACTGAACATTTTGATCAAAGATTCAATAGAAGAATCCTGATCAAAAGGGGAAAAATGCAGAACAGAATTTCAAATTCTCATAGACTCTAGACTTTCTGGAGCCATGGAGGGCAAGATGAACCCCTGGAACTATTGCCCTGAGATAATCTTTAAACCTTAAACCAAAAATACCCCTTGAAAGCTTCTTTAAACCAAACAGTTTAGCTTAACTAGTAAATAATGTCTGCCTTGAACATTATGCTCCTTTAAGAACTGTCTACATGGGATCAAATTGACAATAGCAACTCGAAAGATGAGGCAGTGAGTTTGTTAATGAGGGAGGAACAACTCAGAAAAGGAGGGTAAGAATGGTTGCACAACTGGAAGAATGTTATCAATGTCACTAAATTGTACATGTAGAAACTGTTGAGTTGGTGTGTGTTTTGCTCTGTATATCCTCAACAACAACAAAATAAAATTTAGAAAAAGAACTGTGATAAAGCAGGCTATGGTCTGTCTGGTCTACAGTGAAGTCTGTTGGTGTCGGTGTAAGGAGTTGTAATGGATAGAAAGTTGGGCAGTGTTCAACTCTTGACAACTTACAGTTGGACTGCGTACTCATCTAATAGCTGTTACGACTCTGACTTCATTGTTTTAACACTGTCTCCAACAGATAAAGATAGGGTTTATAAAGATACTGATAATAAAAGGCAATAATAATGAAAAAAAGAGAGAGAGGTATTTGACGTACATGAGAACTGTCTTACAAGGGAGTCATTGGAACGGAACCCTGGTGTAAGTTGAGGACTACCTGTGTACTTGTCTAAGTTTGTTCGGATCTTAAGAACTACATCGTATATAGACACTTCTATTGTAATGTTATTTAGGAAAGATAATTAAGTCTTAGTAAAACAGGCTTAGTTTTGAGTTTTGGTAGTTTTTGTTTGTTTGTTTTTTGGCTTTGTTTTGTATGGTTTACTGTTAAAGTAAATTTCTTAATCCCTCTCATTCTTTTTCCTTTCTGTTTTATGTGCTCTTTATAGATTAAAAAGGCTTACAAATTGTTTTAACACTGTTAGTCTGTTTGAATATACCAAAAATGATAGCTAAATTACGTTTTGTTATAAGTAAGCATGATTCATGTATATATACACAAATTGCGTTTTTCAGAGTAACATTAGAAGGAGAGAAGAAAGTAGAAGTCATTTATTTATTCAGTGCGTTATTTCTGTTCGTATGCAGACCTATTTCTATGTTTCCCATCCTCTTTGTTGAGCAATAGAATCACTTTCTGATTCAAAAGATTTCATGTGGCCCAGGAATCACTGGCCTGTTTAGTAGGTCCACTTAATGTTACCTTAGACTTCTTTGTTCACAACTTTCTTCAACAATTAGACTTTCCCCCCACCCCTCAATTTTGAAGATAATCCTTGAGCTTAAGTGTGCAGTAAGGAACAGCATGAATCCAGTCCCCAGAATGTTGGAGATTGGTCCAGTACTCACATTCCCACTTCTCCATTGTTGCTGGCTGCGTCTGTGGCACTCTTTCTATCTGACCCTAGTCACTTGGAGCTAGGCCAGAGCTCACAAATTAAAAGGAGACCGTCCTTCAGACTGCCAGTAGACAGACACTAGCCACAAGTTTGGGGGTTTCGCATGACACCCCAGCCTTCTTACCTTCTGGCCCCCAATTTGGGGCTGGTTTCCCACTACCCCTTCAAGATGCCAGCCACAAGCTCAGAAGTCCACGTGACACCTTTGCTTTCTGACCTCCTGGCTCCTACTGCCCCTTTGGGTTCGATATGCACTAAAATAACTTACAGAATTCATGGAGAGTGTACCGTAATTATAACTACAGATTTATTATAGCCAGAAAGGATACAACCGAAGAGACACCTTGTGCAAGGTCTAGGAGGGTTCCCAACGTGGAGCTTCCATGTCCCAAGGGATGCACTGCCCTCCCAAGAGCAGATGTTCTCGCCAACCAGGAAGCTCTCTGAGCCTTTGTGTTCAGGGCTCTTATTGCCCAGTCCTGCGTGGTAGTCTAATTCATGCCTCCTGAGGCCAGTTGATACCGGCCTCCCAGGTGAGTCTATTCTGGTCTAGCTAGCCCCCATTTGCCAGCACGAATTCTCTGATGTGGCCTGGAAGTCTCAGAACAATGCACCCCAATTATTACAAGGGTTATTTTTCTGGAGCCAAGGACAAAGGCCACCTTACTTAGGGTAAAACTAGGTTCTTTAACCCACAATAAGGAATTAATTTTAAAATTGGAACTAAATCCAGGTTTAATTGTGAATGAAATTTACCAGCACAATTTGATCTTTTCCATATGTTAAAAACTGTCATTTTAATCCTGAATAGATAATCTGCTAGTCAGAATTCCTCCACTAATATTATTCTCATAAAAATCACTTTTATTAATTGGAATATATTTAAAGCATTTTTGATAGTTTTTTTTGCTTTTAGGTCTCAGCGAACAAAATTGATTTTTGGTTTAGAGTATAAAATGAGTAGTATCTTCAGCCTAAAGTTATAACCCCTTTGTTTCCCTTCCTTCAGATGCTGTGCCACTTTTTCTGAGGCTTCTCCATTCACCTCATCAAAATGTTTGTGAGCAGGCCGTGTGGGCACTGGGAAATATTATAGGTTTGTATAAAACTTGTAATGCTAGCCCAACATCTGTTGTTATCAAATACTAGATAATTAAAATGACTATTAGTAGTCTAAAAAAAAAACTATTTACCTTCCTCTGTAGTAATTTTTATAAATTTTTACTAGTTTTCTATACTACTAATTTTATAAAAATTTACTGTTAAGTACAATGAAAATTTTTGTTGCTTATGATACCATTATATCTTTATATCAACTTCTAATTATTTCAGTAATTATGAAGTATGTATATGATTTAGATCCTGACTCCTGTTCCTCCTGTCTTATGCTGAAGTCCGTTTTATTCTTCAACTTTCTCCATCAAAGAAAGTAAGAACTAAAAAAGAGGAAGCAAAAGATAAACCAATAATTTTCTACATAATGACAGTTCTAAGAGAGTCTAAAGTGAAATTTTTATCTCTTGCAGATTTTAGTACATTAAAGTATAGTAATGTTATCCCCTATTACCATGAATCAATAGGACTCTCTCTAGCCTGTTGACAGTCTAGTTGTATGTTAAACACCATGATTGCCATACCTTTCAGATTTTCTCTGATAAATAATTGAAGACAATTCTAGTATTTGAAGGATTTGTATTTTATCTAGAGCCTAACTTAACTCAAAGAACTATCTTCTACTGGCAAATGGAAAAAATCTGGGGTCTGAACTGTATTGTGTCATAGCTCAAGTGCTTTTCTGGGATTCTTAAACTAATTTGGTAAAGGAGAAGGGTTTACTTGCTTTTGCATGGAAGTGATATTGCTTTCATGTAATTTCTCTTTATTGCCCTTTACAGGGCCAAGGTAGGATGCAGGGGATTGTTTGTCTCCCATGATTGCAAGTTTTCAAAAGGGAGTTGTCTTAGGCTGGGTTCTCTAGAGAAGGAAAAACAGTGAAGCGTATCATATGTTGTTGTGTGCCGTCGAGTTGATTCCAAGTCATAACAACTCTGTAGACAGAGTAGAACTACCCCATAGGGTTTCCAAGGAGCGGCTGGTGGATTTGAACTGCCAGCCTTTTTGTTAGTAGCCTGAGCTTTTAACCAGTTCATTACCAGGGCTTCAGTGAAGCGTGTGTGTGTGTGTGGCTTCAGTGAAGCGTGTGTATGGGTGTACAGAAAGAGAGACAGAGATTTATCTCAAGAAAATGGCTCATGCCGTTGTAGAGGCTGGCAGGTCCCAAGCCCATGGGTCAGGCGTCAGGCTGGAAACTTCTGACTCATGAAGTTAGAGGGGCTCATGAACCCAAGATCGGCAGGTAAGACAACAGGCTGCTGGCCCACAGGCTGCGGAGGCTAATGAATCCCAAGATCAGCGGGCAGTATGGCAGGCTCAAGTCCCAGGAACCAGAGATCAGATAATGGACGAAGCAGATGCCGTATATATAATAGATGTATAATAGATGCTGGCCACACCCACAAGGAAACTCCCCTTCTAACTGATTGGCCGATCATATCAGATCACATCATGGAGGATGACTTCCTCATTACACAACTGCCAAATTACATCATCACATAACTGCCAAACCACTGAGAATCGTGGCCCAGCCAAGCTGACACACAACCTTAACCGTCACAGGAGGGTTCCTCTGTTCTAGGCAGAGGGCATATTGTTACTAGGATTGCTGTATTGTTTGTACATCCAAGGTCCCCCAAATCAGCCTGGTACAGAGTTCTGTGCTCCTTTGTTTTCATACAGAATTTAAAATTTAAAACTAGTGAAGCTTCATTTTGATTTTTGGTTGTTAATTCCAGTGACATCCTAGAATTGATTAGAATACATGGATCCAAAAAGAGCGTTTTATCTTCAAATACTATAATGCAAAGAAAAGGAATGTAATTCCTCACCATGGTTTTAGAAATTACAGTGACACTCTTGATAAAGAAATTTGGCAGTACTCTAGGGTAGTGGTTCTCAAACTTTAGCAAGCTATCAGAATCACCTGGAGGCCTTGTCAAACTACAGAATCGTGGACCCCTAGAGTTTCTGCTTCAGTAGGCGTGAGTGGGTCCCTGGGTGGCACAAACAATTAAGCGCTCTAGTACTAGCCAAAAGGTTGGCAGTTTGAACCCACCCAGAGGTGCCTCAGAAGACAAGCCTGGCGATCTGCTTCTGAAAGATCACAGCATTGAAAACCCTATGGAGCAGTTCTACTTTGCACACATTGGGTCGTCATGAGTCTGAATCGACTTAATGGCAACTAACAACAACAGGGCTGAATAGTTGATACTCTTGGTGGTCTGAAATTGGATTGTTGATATCAATTCTATGAATGTTTTCTCTTTGATAACATTTTTTTTCTTTAGTAGTGTTTTGACGTTTTTATTACATGAAAGTTTGAGAGAGATGATAAAAGCAACAGTTCTCTGCTCATAAAGTATTTTAAAGGAACCTTAAACTTACTGAGTTTATATTGCATAAAAACTTTTTATAAGTTACCAGCTTATTAACCTCAAGATGTGAGTAATGTGCAAAAAAATACCTTAGCACCTTATGTTGCTTCTCTTGGTTTGAAAATCTAGAATGTAAACTTGGTTATTATTGCCTAAAATTTTTATATAAAACTAAGTTGTATTGTCTGGTTAAAATACAGAAAACAGCATATTGTACCTAGTGCTTTATATTTTCTCAACTGCATATTGTCAATATATTTTATTGAATTAATAAATCCTCCTTCCTACAGGTGATGGACCCCAGTGTAGAGATTATGTCATAAGCCTTGGAGTTGTGAAACCTTTACTTTCCTTCATAAGTCCATCTATTCCTATAACATTCTTAAGAAATGTTACTTGGGTTATGGTCAACTTATGCCGCCACAAAGACCCACCACCCCCAATGGAAACCATTCAGGAGGTAAACAAGTTTTTAAAAAAAAAAGTGGAGTAGATGCAACTATGGTATTTTTTATCTATGAGTTTTTAAAAATGTGTATATATTTTTCTCCTCAGATTCTTCCAGCCCTTTGTGTTTTAATTCATCACACAGACGTAAATGTGAGTAAAAGCTTGCCATCATATATTGACGTGGGTATGTGTGTATTTGTAGGCCTGCCCCTCTGACATAGGGGGAAAAATGTTTTACTAGACATCATGTCAGTGTACTCTTATCAGTTTTTTCCATTTCCAGAGCGGTAGCACATTGTTCGTTATTTGTTGTTGTTATGTTGGTAGGTGCCATCAAATTGGTTCCAAATCATAGCAACCCTGTGTACAACAGAACGAAATACTGCCCAGTTCTGTGCCATTCTCACAGTCATTGTTATGTTTGAGCCCATTGTTGCAGCCACTGTGTCAGTGCATCTCATTGAGGGTCTTCTTCTTTTTTGCTGACCCTCTACTTTACCAAGCATGATGTCCTTCTCCAGGGACTGGTCTTCCTGATAACATGTCCAAAGTATGTGAAACATAGTCTCACCATCCTTGCTTCTAAGGAGCACTCTGGCTGTCTTTCTTCTAAGACAGGTTTGTTCATTCTGGCATTCCACAATACATTCAGTATGCTTCGCCAGCACTATAATTTGAAGGCATCAGTTCTTCTTCAGTCTTCGTTATTCATGGTCCAGCTTTCACACGCTTATGAGGCAATTGAAAATACCATGGCTTGGATCAGGCGCACCTTAGTCTTCAAAGTGACGTCTTTGCTTTTTAACACTTTAAAAAGATTTTTTTGCGGCAGATTTGCCCAGTGCAACACATCATTTGATTTCTTGACTGCAGCTTCCATGGGTATTGATTATGGATCAAGTAAAATGAAATCCTTGACAACTTCAGTATTTTCTCCATTTATCATGACCCCATGTTGGTCCCATTGTGAGGATTTTTTGTTTTCTTTATGTTGAGGTGTAATCCATACTGAAGGCTGTAGTCTTTGATCTTCATAAGTAAGTGCTTCAAGTCCTCTTTGCTTTCAGCAAGCAAGGTTGTGTCATCTGCACAGCACAGGTTGTTCATGAATCTTCCTCCAATCCTGATGCCACATTCTTCTTCATATAGTCCAGCTTTTTGAATTATTTGCTCAGCATACAGATTGAATAAGTATGGTGAAAGGATACAACCCTGATGCACACCATTTCTGATTTTAAACTATGCAGTATCCACTTGTTCTGTTCGAACGACTGCCTCTTGGTCTGTATAGGCTCCTCATGAGCACAATTAAGTGTTCTGGAATTCCCATTCTTTGCAGTGTTATCCATAATTTGTTATGATCCACACAGTCAAATGCCTTTGCATAGTCAGTAAAACACAGGTAAACATCTTTGTGGTATTCTCTGCTTTCAGCCAAGATCCATCTGACATCAGCATCGATATCCCTCATTCTGTGCCCTCTTCTGAATCCAGCTTGAATTTCTGGCAGTTCCCTGTTGATGTACTGCTGTAACCATTTTTTAATTAGCTTCAGCAAAATTCTACTTGGGTGTGATATTAATGATAGCCCATTACCCATTGCCATTGAGTCAGTTCTGACCCATAGTGACCCTATAGGGTTTCCAAGGAGCAACTGGTTGATTTGAACTGCTGACCTTTTGATTAGCAGCCGAGCTGTTAACCACTGTGCCACTAGGGCTCCATGATATTAATAATATTGTTTGATAATTTCCACATTCTGTTGGATCACCTTTCTTTTGAATGGGCACAAATATGCATCATCTCTTCCAGTTAGTTGGCCAAGTAGCTGTCTTCCAGATTCCTTGGTATAGAGGAGTGAGCACTTCCAGTGTTGCATCTGTTTGTTGAACCATCTCAATTAGTATTCTGTCAGTTCCTGGGGATTTGTTTTTCACCGATGTTTTCAGTGCAGCTTGGATTTCTTCCTTCAATACCATCTGTTCTTGATCGTATACTACCTTCTGAAATGACTGAACGTCGACCAGTTCTTTTTTGGTACAGTGACTCTGTGTATTCCTTCCGTCTTTTAATGCTTCCTGCGTTGTTCCATTTTTTGCCCATAGAATCTTTCAGTGTTGTAACTTGAGGCTTGTATTTTTCCTTTCATTATTTCAGCTTGAGAAATGCCAAGCATGTTCTTCCCTCTTGGTTTTCTAACTCCAGGTCTTTGCACATTTCATTATAATACTTTGTCTTTTTGAACCACTTCTTGAAATCTTCTGTTCAGCTCTTTTATGTCATCATTTCTTCCATTTGCTTTAGCTATTCTATATTCAAGAGCAAGTTTCAGAGTCTCCTCTGACATCCATTTTAGTCTTTTCTTTCTTTCATGTCTTTTTAGTGATCTTTTTCTTTCTTCATATATGATGTGCCTTTATGTCATCTCACAGCTCATCTGGTTTGGTCATTAGTGTTCAGTGCATCACACCTATTCTTGAGATGGTCTCTAAATTCAGGCAGGATATACTGAAGGTCATACTTTGGCTCTCATGGACTTGTTCTAATTTTCTTCAGCTTCAACTTGACCTTGCATATGAGCAACAGATGGTCTGTTCCACAGTCAACCTCTGGCCTTGTTCTGAATGGTGATATTGAGCTTCTCCATCATCTCTTCCCACAGATTTAGTCGATTTGATTCCTATGTATTCCATCTGATGAGGTCCACGTGGGTAGTAGCCGTTTATGTTGTTGAAAAAAGTCATTTCCAATGACTAGGTCATTGGTCTTGCAAAATTCTATCGTGTGATCTCCAGCATCATTTCTGTTCTTAAAGCCGTATTTTCCAACTACTGATCCTTCTTTGTTTCCAACTTTCTCATTCCAGTCACCAGTAATTATCAATGCATCTTGATTGCACGTTTGATGAATTTCAGAGAGCAGAAGTTGCTAAAAATCTTGAATTTCTTCATCTTTGCCATTAGTGGTTGGTGTATAAATTTGAATAATAGTCATATTAACTAGTGTTCCTTGTAATAAGTGTATTGATATTATCATTGACAGCACTGTACTTCAGGATAGATCTTGAAATGTTCTTTTTGACAATGTACGTGACGCCATTCCTCTTCAGTGTTCATTTCCAGCGCAGTAGAGCATACATACGATTGTCTGATTCAAAATGGCCAGTAGCAGTCCATTTCAGTGTACTAATGCCTAGGATATCTATCTTCAAGGGTTCCATTTCATTTTTGACAACTTCTAATTTTCCTAGATTCATACTTCGTACATTCCACATTCCAGTTATTAATGGATGTTTGCAGCTGTTTCTTCTCGTTTCGGGTCATTTTGGTAGTTTGGTATTTATTTAGTATATCCCCTCCCTCCAAAAAAAACCAGATCTGTTGCCATTGAGTCGATTCTGACTCATAGCAACCCTATAGGACAGAGTAGAACTGCCCCACAGGGTTTTCAAGGCTGTAATCCTTAGGAAACAGACCGCCACGTCTTTTTCCCATGGAGTGGCTGGTGGGTTTGAACCACCAACCTTTTTGGTTAGCAGCCAAGTGTCTTAACCTGTACACCACCAGGGTTCCTTTTTTAGCGATATCAGAAAATTTAATTTTAGTGAAGAAATCAAGACTCACTGTTGTTTTGATCACGGCAGTAATGTGTCTTGTTATATGTTAGTGTTATAAAAACTCACAATAAAAGTTTTTAGTATTGCTAATACATGATCTTTCGCCCTAAGATTGTAATTGTTCTTAAGCTTTTTAATGGAAGCTCATTCAGACAACCTGACCAGTGAGAGCACGTACACATAAAGATATTTTTGGTTTTGAAAGATAAAAGAGAAATATTTGTGCTTAAGTCCATATTCATGGACTTGTATTCATAGATATTTGTATGTGATTTTTTTTTAGCATGGAGATAACTGGTAATTATTCAAACAAGAAGGAGGAGAAATAAGTGCAGAAAGAATTTTAAACATAATAAATATCCTGCTCATTCTTTCTGACACAGTTGACAAAGGAAAAAGCAGCTCAGGGAGCATGAAGTGATATGGAAAACCACTCTGACTGCATACAGAAGCCAGACTGTCCTCCGGCATGTTAGAGAAGCTAAGGATGTAGTGGGGTAGGGGAATTACCTGGATCAAATATATAGCAACAATCAGGAACTTGTGTGGTTCTTTGAAAACAGTTCGGTATGGTGGTCAGTGTTTGATGAGCTGCTTTATTTCTTTAAAATTTCTAGAGTGATGCCTTTTTGCCAGGACCTCTTTAAAACGTGGAACAAATTAAGGTTGGAATTAGACTACATCAAGCAGTGACAAAATGAACATGATCTTTCCTCTAAAGATATTTTTTTAGCTTCGGATTTTCTAGGTTCTTAGAAAACATGTAAGCAGCTTTTGTTTTTTGCTCCTTTTAGTTAGGTTAAGCCCTGGTGGCACAGTGGGTAAGTGCCTGACTGCCAACTGAAAAGTCAGCGTTGTGAATCCAACAGTTCTTCTGCAGAAGAAAGATGTGGCAGTCATCTCCCGTAAAGATTACAGCCTTGGAAACCCTGTAGGGTAGTTCTACTCTGTCCTATAAGGTCGCTATGAGTGGGAATCAACTTTACGGCAATAGGCATGGCTTGGGCATAGCCAAGTTCTTTGATTAAATTATTTTAATTATTTGGTTTAAAAATTTTTCAAGAAAGATTAATCTCAAAGTTTATAACTCTTATCTAAAAACTACATATCTCGGTTGACTTTATTCACAGATACATTGTGTTGTTTCCACCTGATTACCCTAATTCCGTTGAGCTACATGACACCATTTTTCTTGCTTTTAATCGATATCTCTTGAAGAATTTCTCAAGCCACTTTACGTTTGTGGTTTTCAGTAACATGTTTACTAAGTAACGTTTACTAAAAAATAAAATCCTAGGTAAATACTTAGCAGTAAGTTCTTAAATCCAGCCATCAGAGAAGTTTAAAAAAGACTGCTTCCATAAACCATAAGTGAAACACAGTAGTTGAAATTAATACATTTACCATGGAATATGAACTTTTTCTGATAAAAAACAATGTATATGAAATCTAGTCTGATTTGAATTGTGAACTTTGATCTGAGCATATTAATGACATGTTTAGCACTGGGCCTTTAAAAAATATACCTATTTATGTATAGTCATGCACAAGTAACACTTTTTGAAATTTTTTGCTTATATTAACAAATTTTGGCTTGTGTTGATATGACAGAGGGAAAAAAAGTCCTTATTACATTTGCAAACAGAGCTTAGTTGTTTCACATATGGTTGATAACCCTTTATGTGTATGAATTCTTTCTTGTTTTTGATATCGTTGGTATCTTCTTTTTACACTAAAAATATCCTTAGACCTTTCATGAATTCCTGAAGGAATAGTGGCAAAATGCTGTTTTCTCCTTGCGGGAGCTTTTTAGGTATCAAGGAGAGCCCTTGTTTTGAATTTAAAAGGTTTTAAAGTTTTCTGGCCTGTCCTTTGAGGCAGAGTCCGTGTTCCAGAAAGGCTTTAGGAATTGACGTTCTAGGCACGATTATTATCCCAGTGTCTTTGTCAGTGATTATGTTGTTTATGCAGCAGTCTAATAGTGTGTTATACTTCTGTTTGATCATAACTTCTATTTAGGACTTAAATATGCAAAGAACGATCACAACACAGTGTTGTGCCGTACTTTCAAATATAAATGAAATACAATACAATTAAAAATTGTAACCTATTTGGTATAAGTTAATTACAGAGGTTTCTTTGTTTCTTTTGTGTTTTTTTTTGTTTTCATTTTTGGTAAGTTCTGGCAGCTGGTGTAAGGTGTGTATTTTTAACACAAAATCTTTCTTTATCATAGATCTTAAAGGTTGACCTATGGTTGCTTTTAATGTCTTGATTGGCAGATGTAGGAGACTTCTCCACTACTTGGGAAGTTACTTCCAGTTTTAATAAGGCAAAGCCAAACCAGTTGGAGAAGATTAAACTAGTGTAATCCTGATACTGGTGTATTGGCTTTAGACATACCTGTATGATATTGATGATACTAGAGAACACCTTGAATATATCCATTTATCTAACCCAGATGTTAAGCACCACTGTGCATGTTGAGTATGTATAGTATTTCTAACTATATACATTTACCACAGTATCCTTGGACCTATCATCTCTCAGCATGAACTTTTGAGAAAGATAAAAACTTCTCACCCATCTCTTAGGTACTGTGTAGTGTGTATGTCTTAGTGTGAATTAAGATTGCGTACTAATCTGGATCAGGATCATAACATAAATATTCTGAATGTGACTAAAAGATGCATATATGTGATAAAGACGTACGTGGTGATGATGTTTGATACAGTAGAAAAGATGAATAGTTCAGTGAATTGAGGTGAGAGAAGAGTGGAAGAAAGAAGGTAGTAGAACAATCTTAAATTAGTCTGCATGGTTAGGAGTTATTGAAATGAAAAATTATTCAAAGGCTTTTTGGATTTTCATTTTATTCATTAGATATTGGTAGACACCGTCTGGGCCCTCTCTTACCTTACTGATGCTGGCAATGAACAGATACAGATGGTAATAGACTCTGGGATCGTTCCTCATTTGGTTCCTCTGCTCAGCCACCAGGAAGTTAAAGTTCAGGTAAGTTTCTTCTCGATAAAAACATAACTTTTATTACCACTAATTGCTTTAAGCATGAAATTCAAAAATGGACAGTTTCAATAGTTTTTTTTTTTTCTCGATAGTTTAAAGTATATTCTTAGCCTAACAACATATCTGCTATGAAAAGCATAATAACATATCTGTGATGAAGAGAGCGATTTACTATATCTCCATTGTAAAGAAGGGGAAAATTAGGTAACATTACTATAGGTATACCCCCCACCCCACCCCCCCAAAAAAGGCAGACTCCATTGTAGATAACTGATTTCTAATGTAGACTAAGGCAGTTCAGTATAGCAACTTGGGTGGTGTCTGAAACAAGTATTGATGCTTTTATTTTTCCTACTCTTCTTATTTTCTGTTCTTCTTCACTCTCCTTCCCCACTGCACCTGGCAGGGTCAGTTAACTCTTAGCTTCACTGGCACTGTGATGAAGGTTTTTCACCCTGGACTGAAATTTGCTGCTAGGGGGCTTCCTAAATTGTGTCCTTTCAAGTATTTAAATTTTTTCTTTTTTTTTTTTTTTTAATCCTTCCAAGTAACATTTATCCCAAAGAACCTGCATCTAGAAAGAGCCAAAAAGATAGGATGAGAAGTTCATGCAAATATTATAAGTGGTAAACTACCATGGTAAAGGGGGTTACAGCAAGATCTCCCTATCCTTCTGAGGTAATATTTTAATCTGGTAATGGCTTAGAATCCATAAAGTACAGTAATTGCATAAGGAACACTGTTCACCTAAGTCACTGATTCTCAACCTTGGCCAGGCATCAGAATCAACTGTGGAGTTTTTTTAAAAAATATATTTTTTTATTCCTTTGCTCAGCCCCCAGGTAATTCTGTTTCATTAAACCTAGGAGGTTTCTTAGATTCCTTAGCTTTTATAATCTCTTCAGATGATGCTGATGTATAGTCAGAATTGAGACCTGCTGCCTTGAAATTTAATGTACTTTAAAGAGGGAAAACTTCACTAAGTTCAAAAAGAATTGATTAATAGAACATATTGTGTATGCTGTCTAGGGGTATGTTTTACTTAATTGAAATATTCTTACTCGATGTTTGTCATTAGTTTGCATTTTTTAAGTGTGATGTTTAAGTCTTGGTTTAGGTTTTTGGTTTGTATTTTGGTTTTTTTTTTTTCAGAATGTGTCTTCAATTTTAATACTGGACTTCATTGAGAAAATAGGGCTTGGAATGATTCTTTAGCCAACTCTCAAGGAAAGTTAATGTTCTGTATTTCACCTGATGAGTACAAGATTTTTTTTAACTTTTCAACTTTCACACCGGAATTTAGGAAAGTAGAAAGAATAGTGTAATGAACTCTCAACATATGTTTTCTGTACGCCCTCACTCACTCCCCCAAAAAATATTTTGATACAAATCCCAGATATCGTTTTATTCACTTGCCTCTCTAAAAGTTAAGCCTATTTTTTTTTAACACAACCACAGTACCAGTACTGCACCTTAAAAACGTTTAATTTAAATGTTCAGTCAGTATCACAGCTTCAGATTTTTTCACAGTTAGTTTGATCAAATCAAAATCCAAACAAGGTCCATGCATTGCATTTGGTTGATATGTCTCTTAAGTTTCCCTTCCTTCTTCCTCCTTTTTTTCCCCCACTGTAAATTTATTTGTTAATGCTCACAACAAAAAAATGTTGAAAGAAGTTAGAGAAGACCTAAATGAATGGAAAGACATCCTGCGTTTATGGATTGAAAGACTTAGCATTGTTAAGATGGCAATACTCCCTGTCTTAGTTACCTAGTGCTACTATAACAGAAATACAAGTGGATGATGTTAACAAACAAAAATTTATTTTCTAACAGTTTCGGAGGCTAAAAACAAAAAAAAAACCTGTTGTGGTTGAGTCGATTCCGACTCATAGCAACCCTATAGGACAGGAAGTGGTTGGTGGATTTTAACTGGTAACTTTTGGTTAGTAGCCAAGCTCTTAACCACTGTACCACCAGGGCTCCATTTAGGAGGCTAGAAGTCCAAATTGAGAGTACCGACTCTAGGAGAAGGCTTTCTCTCTCTGTTGGCTCTGGAGGAAGGCTTTTTTCTGAGCTTCTGTTCCTTGGCAGTCTTCATGTGGCTTGGCATGTCTTTTCCCCATGTCTGCTTGCTAGCTTGTGTTTATCTCAAAGGAGATTGACTCAAGATACACCCTATACTGATCCTGCCTCATTACCATAACAAAGACAACCCATTCCCAAATGAGATTATAACCAGGGACATAGAGGTTAGAATTTACAACATATTTTAGGGGGCCACATTTCAATCCATAACACTGCCCAAATCGATCTGCAGAGGCAATGCAATTCCTATCAAAATCCCAGGTGCTGTTTTTGTGGAAATTTACAAGCTAATCCTAAAATTCATATGGAAATGTAGAGGTCTCAGAATAGCCAAAACAGTCTTGAAAAAGAAGAACAAAGTTGGAGGCCTCTTCACTACCTGATTTCAAAATTTACTTCATAGCTACAGTAAACAAGACTGTGTGGTACGGACATAAAGTTAGACCTATTGATAAATGGAATATAATCAAGAGTCTAGAAATAAACTCATACATTTATGATTGATTTTCAACAAGGGTGTCAAGACAGTTCGATAGGGTAAAGAATAGTCTCTTGAACCAATGGCACAGGGACAACTGAATACCACATGCTGAGGAATGAAGTTGGACTCTACATCATACCACATATAAACATTAACTCAAAAATAATGTAAATGTAAGAGCTAAAACTATGTAAAACTCATAGAAGAAAACAGGTGTAAATATGACCTTCAACTAGACAGTGGTTTCTTGGATGTGACACCGCAAGCACAAATAATACAAGAGAAAATGGATAAATTGGACTTCATCAAAATGACAAACTTTTGTGCTCGTCGGGCGCCAACAAGAAAATGAAAAGACAGCCCACATAATGCAAGAAAATATTTGCAAAGCACATATCTGAAAAGGGGCTTGTACCCAGAATATATAAAAACTTTTTCAGCTGAACAATAAAATGACAAATAACCCAATTTAAAAATGGGCAAAGATTTTGAATAGAGTTCTCCGAAGAAGACACACAAATAGCCAGTAAGCACATGAAAAGGTTCTTAACATCATTAGTCATTAACCCATTGCTATTGAGTGATTCCGACTCATAGCCACCCTAAAGGACCAAGTAGAGCTGCCACATCTTTCTCCCCGGGAGCAGCTGGTGGGTTCGAACCACTGATCTTTTGGTTAGCAGCCAAGCACTTAACCACTGCACCACAAGGGCTCCTCATTACTTATTAGAGAGATGCAAATCAAAACCACAGTGAGATACCACTTGACACCCACTAGGATGGCTAGAATTTTACAAAAAGGACATAAGTGCTGGCAAGGATGCAGAGACATTGGAATCTTCATATGTTACTGGTGGGAATGTACAATGGTGCAGCTGCTTTAGAATACAGTTTGGCAGTCCCTCAAACATAAGAGTTTTCCTGTGATCCAGCAGTTCTAGGTACATATCCAAGAGAACTGAAAACACCTGTTCACATAAAAACTTCCACATGAATGTTCATAGCAACATTATTCATAATAGCCAAAGAGTGGAAACAACCCAAATGTCCATTGGTTACTGAAAGAATAAACAATATGTGGTATATCCATACAATGGAATGTTATTTAGCCATAAAAAGCATGAAGCGCTAATACATGCTGCAACATGGATAAGCCTTTAAAACACTATGCTAAGTGAAAGAAACCAGACATTGTACAGTTCCATTTATATGAAATGCTTAGGCAAATCCATAGAGACAGGAGGCAGATTAGTGGTTGCCGGGGGCCTGGGGGTAATGGATGGGGAGTGACTGCTAATAGCTACAGACTTTATTTTTGCAGTGATGACAGTGTTTTGGAATTAGTTACTTAGAATGGCTGCACAAGTTTGAATGTACTAGAAACCATGAGTTGTACATTTTAAAAGGATGAATTCTGTGTTATGTGAATTATGTCTCAAGTTTTTTTTTTTTAAAGCTGTCATTTGTTTTGTAGAAGGAAAAATTAAAGGGAGAATAAAAGCTCTAACTTGACAGGAAATGACCTAATAGAGCTATAGAAAAATTATTAATAAATCAGATTGATTTGCTAGTGAAATCTCATGTTAAGTATCTTCTTGCTTTCCTTCAGAGAGGCAGTGTCTTTTAAAACCAAGAAAAAAACCATGTATACACACACACACACAAACACAAGTATGTATATATATATATATGTATACATATATATATATCAGTGTGAATCTAAAGTACTATCTTTTTCAGCACCCAGAAGATTTTTTTTTTACCCACTGGCCCAGCTGGTAGCCAGTAGTAAGTTAGGATGCTAACAGAAGAGTTTCTGTGAATGAACAGCCAAATGGGTCGTGTTTCTGTCACTACCAAAAAAAAAAAGACGGGGGAGTGCAGTTCTATTTACAAAGTACATGTTTGAATTTTTGTGTGTGTGTAGTGGAATAAACATAACAAAACATTAGTCATTTCAACCATTTTTGTATGTACGATTCACTGGCATTCTTTACGTTCCCAATGTTGTGCAACCGTCACCACCGTCCAGAGTTTGAAAAATTTTGATGTGCAGTGTTAACTTTATTTAGAAGAAAAAAGTCAGTATTCAAATTGTTTTAGAAAAATATGAGATTATTCCATCAATCAGCACCCTGCTCCTTCCACCCCCGTTCTTATTTTCTCTATGGTGCTCACTGATTGCTGTCTAAAAGTACCCTTCTCGTGCGTTTGTTGTATTTATTAATTGACTTTATTTTATAATAAAGTTCTCTAAGAGCTGGAACTTGGATCTGTCCCATTCACCTTAGTTTTCAGATCAGTGCCTGACACAGAATAAGTGCTCAGAAAGGATGAGATGGCTGAATGAATGAATGAATTTAGCCTTCGTAAGCTCTCCCTAATGAAACAACATCCCATGAAGTCTTTTTACGTTTCAGACTGCTGCACTTCGAGCTGTAGGCAACATTGTTACTGGAACTGATGAGCAAACACAAGTAGTTTTGAATTGTGATGCTCTTTCACACTTCCCAGCACTTCTGACGCATCCCAAAGAGAAAATTAATAAAGTAAGTATTTAATACTACTTAATAGATATCAGCAGTTTTCATTTGTAAAACTAGGATCTGAGAGCGATCTGTAATATTGATAGGTAATATAAGCTGTCATGTAAACTTAAATAGACCATGAAATATGTCACTGTTTATAATATGGATTAATTAGTGTCTGATTTTTTTATAAATAAGCTAGTTGTAAAGTGCTGTTTTGGCTCTCTTGGAAATGATGAAACAGAGATAATTGGGTGTTGAATGTTGTATGGTTGAATATTTTCAATAAATAATTTGATTATTAGTCTAATGTTTTATGTAATAGTGTGCATGAGTGTGTGTGTGTGCGTGCATGTGGGGGCTATGGAAAGGGGGCACTGACTGGTGATGCTGATATTGGAGTGCATCTGAGGCTGTTGTAGAAACACATGGGTGCTGATTATAACATCGCCGATGATTATAACCCAAGAACAGCTCACCTGACCAGCCTAGCACCCTAAAATCTCTAACAGGTTCATTAAACATGGTCCTGTGATCTGATCCAAAAGAGCCTAGTGTACATTAGCTAATAATAATATTTTTTGGAGTAAAACTAGTTTTAAAATAATACAGAATGTGATTTCCCTTTAGTAAATCACTAAATTTAACAAATTTATTGAGTTTGGTAAATTATAATATCCCACATTAAATGTTGGGTGAACATTTCCACTGAAACTGTGGTTCCAGTGTGCATTTATTATCTATGACGGTTACAAAACACTTGAGGCCAGACCACTGTCTTGGTGAGTGGCACCATTGTGGTGTGAGGGGCAGCATAAAAACATCACTAAAGTAGACCGATAAAGCAATCAACCATTTGGTTTCACTTTAGCTCTTGAGGAAAATGGTGTAGCAGGAATATTAACAGTAAGTATACTGAAACAACCCACTACTTCATTTTTCATATCTTCCCATCCTCATGGATAATTGAGATAATATATCTGCTTTGGCTAGGACTTTTGATCAGAATAGAGTAAAGCGCATTATGGAGGGAAGGAATGTTTCTCATTTACAACAGTTTTCAAGACTTGAATTTATCAGTTTTTTCATCAATTCCTTAGTATTTGCTCAGCCAACATTCTTTTGTGTCATAGGCACTGTTTGAGAACATTGCTTTCAAAAATTCTTTAGAATTCTGTAGTTTATCATAAGTTTGTTTAAAGCAAAGGTAGAGGTAGAGGAGTTGAGATTCCTAAAATTTTTATTATGGAACTGATTCTATAACAAAACTAATTGGACAGTAGAGTGAATGTATTTTCTCTTAGCTCAAATGTGGATTTTATTTTTTAATGAGGAATATTGAAGGGGTCTTGTTCTACAGGAAGCAGTGTGGTTCCTCTCTAACATCACCGCAGGAAATCAGCAACAGGTCCAGGCAGTAATTGATGCCAACCTTGTACCAATGATAATACACCTTTTGGATAAGGTAAGTCATGTCGTATGTATCTGAGTAAGGGGTAGGCATTTAAATCTAATAAATTAGGGGAATGTATATGTTTCTGTTTAATTAATTAGGACCTATAGAGTAGCACGAATACTAAAGTATTAAAATTTGATCCCAGCAGTGTTTTATATACAGGCAACATTTATTTTTGGAAACCCCTGGCCCTTCTTCTGTATAGTTCTTTTATCAAAATTGCCATTGTTTTGGGATTTATTAGAAAACAATATTATTACTACTAATAATAAATGTTTATTTAGTGTTCCAAGCACTTTACATTGAAATTGCGTTTAATACTATAACCCTATGAGGTTAGATACTACTATTTTATCCCCATTTTGCAGATGAAGAAATTATGGTATAGATAAGTAAATTGGCCAAGATCAAACAGCTAAGTAAGTATGCTGCTGTTAACCATGTGCTGTATCATCTCTCATACTCTTATTAACATTTGGGAAACAGGCAGTTCTGTAATGTTGCAATCACAGCATGAGGGGTTTTTCTGAATACTGATCTGTAATAAAAGAGAAAACATCTCTATGTATTTTCTGTTCCTCTGTGTTTCCTATAAATTGATGTTGTTGTTGGGTGCTGTCGAGTCAGTTCCGACTCACAGAGACCCCACGCATAACAGAACGGAACACTGCCCCGTCCTGCACCATACTCACAGTTATTATGCCTGAGCCCATTGTTGCAACCACTGTGTCACTCCATCTTGTTGAGAGTATTCCTCCTTTTCATTGACCCTCTACCTTACCAAGCATGATGTCCTTCTCCAGGGATTGGTCCCTCCTGATAACATGTCCAGAGTAAGTGAGAAGAAGTCTTACTGTCCTCACTTCTAAGGAGCATTCTGGCTGTACTTCTTCCACGACAGGGTTCCTCTTTCTTCTGACAGTCCATGATACATTCAGTATTCTTTGCCAACACCATAATTCAAAAGCATCAGTTCTTCTTCAGTCTTCCTTATTCATTGTCCAGTTTTCACACGCATACAAGGGAATTGAAAATACAGTGACTTGGAAACAGCCTGGTACTGGTACAACAACAGATACATAGATCAATGGAACAGAATTGAGAATCCAGACATAAATTCACCTACCCATGAGCAGCTGATATTTGACAAAGGCCCAAAGTCCGTTAATTGGGGAAAAGACAGTCTCTTTAACAAATGGTGCTGGCATAAATGGATATCCATCTGCAAAAAACTGAAACAAGACCCATACCTCACACCATGCACAAAAACTAACTCCAAATGGATCAAAGACTTAAATATAAAATCAAAAACGATGAAGATCATGGAAGAAAAGATAGGGACAACGTTAGGAGCCCTAATACATGGCGTAAACACAATACGAACCGTAAGTAACAATGCACAAGCACCAGAAGAGAGACTAGATAAATGGGAGCTTCTAAAAATCAAACACTTATGTTCATCAAAAGACTTTACCAAAAGAGTCAAAAGACTATCTACAGACGGGGAAAAAAATTTTGGCTATGACAAATCCGATCAGCGTCTACTCTACAAAATCTACAAGCTACCGCAAAACCTCAACAGCAAAAAGACAAATAACCCAGTTAAAAAATGGGCAAAGGATATGAATAGGCACTTCGCCAAAGAAGATATTCAGGCGACTAACAGACACACGAAGAAATGCTCATGATCATTAGCCATTAGAGAAATGCAGATCAAAACTACAATGAAATATAATCTCACCCCAGCAAGGCTAGTATTAATCAAAAAAAAACAAATGCTGGAGAGGTTGTAGAGAGACTGGAACACTTACACACTGTTGGTGGGAATGTAAAATGGTACAACCACTTTGGAAATCGATTTGGTGCTTCCTTAAAAAGCTAGAAATAGAAGTACCATACAATCCAGCTATCCCGCTCCTTGGAATATATCCTAGAGAAACAGGAGCTGTCACATGAATAGATATATGCACACCCATGTTCATTGCAGCACTGTTTACAATAGCAAAAAGATGGAAGCAATCCAGGTGCCCATCAACGGACTAATGGATAAATTATGGTATATCCACACAATGGAATATTACTCAATGATAAAGAACAACAGTGAAGCTGTGAAACATCGTATAACATGGTGGAAGCTGGAACTTATTA